CTTCAGTATTTCTTGTGTTCTCACGTGCAGTGTCTAGCCCGTGTGCATGCTTCTTAGAGTTTCATGAATATAACTTGTAATTACCTTCCATGTCAAAAATAGTTTCTTAATGGAAACACTTTTTCATAATGAATTATATTGTAAGTGCTAAATGCAATCAATTAATTGTAGTTGTCAACATTTCATCAATCTCTTACTAATAAAACACGGGGTTGACACCCACAGTAGTACTCAGAACAAAATGCATTCAGATTCATTAACGTTTTGGGGACTGGATAGTCATTTCATAACTTGTTTGTCAAATTAATACTCTGGCACGTTGCAAATTGCAGAACATTGCAGAACGAAAAACTCTTTAAGGACCCAAAATATGGGACCAATAGGGGGGACAAGTGAGGTGTCCCCCTCCTACTGGATAATGAGTTGGCCATCATTAATGATGACCAACTCATTATCTAATAGGAGGGGAACACCTCACTTGTCCCCTCTATTGGTCCCATATTTTGGGTCCCTGTAGCAAAGCTCTTGCAGAATATAAGGGGATGTTTGGTTGTTGTTAGTAAAGTTGTGTATTTATGACACAACTTGAAAAGTTGCTGTCCACCTCATCAATTTCACTGAGCAACTTTTCTTTGTTTGTTTTTTATTCCATTGGAATCATAAATTGCTCGTTTGGTTTGCAAAATATAATTTTAATTGCTTGTTTGGAAAGTGTAAAAAGTGGTTATTGTGTGGTCCCTACTCAAATGATTCTATTGGCCTAGCCCCCTCACTTCTGACACATATGTCAGCTTTCCTTCAAAAGCTTTGCTACAGGGACCCAAAATATAGGACCAACATATGTGAGATGTCTCCCTCATATTGCATAATGATGGCCAACTCATTAGTTAATAGGAGGGGGACACCTCACATGTCCCTCTGTTGGTCCCATATTTTGGATCCTTGGCGAATTTTTTTTTCTTCAAAATCAGACCATTTTAAAGGGATTTGTGAATCCATGGCACATCAGCATAGTAAATCACTTTACACTATTTTCACAACTACAAACAAACAATTAAAAAGGAGGAAAGCTGACATTGAGAGCCACTTTTTTACACTTTCCATTCTTTTACATAGTAAAAACTTACAACCAAACAGACCCTAAGACGTGGGGTCATTTTGTGGGAACGAGCACTCTTTGCAAGTCACTTTTATCTTGGGCATCAGATTTTCCCTTGACATGAATGGTCAAAAGATTGAGATGTGAATATTTTCACAATTGGCTAGTGAATTCGCCTGGTTCAACCGACACGTTGGGGCTAGGCGGAGGATCTTAGATAATGGTTTCCGTTTTACATTTTAAAATGGTGCCTATAAGAACCTGATTTTGCTTTTTCTTAAACACTAGATTCGAGTATAGGATAGAAGATACTTTTTGTGCTTAAGGGAGATTGTGGCAGGGATAAATGGGCTTGAGGGGTGGGGCTCTCATCATATTTTAAGAAGTAGATTATGACGCAAACAACTCACCCGTTGCATCGATACACATGTTTTTCAATTCGTAGGCCATAAAACTATACGCTACATAGTGTGAACTCCATTCTCCAAATGGTGTAAATTCATACATGAACATAGAATACCATTTGTAATCACAGCCAAAACAGTACAATGTTTCCCTAAAATGTATGCCAGACCTTTAGGTTCATAACAAAGTAATAGGAAATGGTTCCTGTGACTTTTTAGCTTCTACCGTAAACACAGACAAAAATCCACACAGATGCACAGATTCATGTGTACGTACGGTGTTTTTCTAAGATTCCTAATGAGAGTATATGAATATTGCTCTGATTTCATACTTTTAAATATGATTATGTGCAACATTTTTTATTCTTATTGGTTGTTTCCCATATTTTAGTTTGTGGATTACGTGGCAAAACAGCTGGAGATTCCAGCCATTCTGTTGCAGGCCTTCCAATAAAAAATGAATCAGCAAAAAACCAACACAGATCGCAATCTTTGGACATCTTCAAGGTGATGATTTTGTTAGATATTTCTATATTCCTAGAGTTTCTTAAGTTTTGTGGTTTTAGCTGACTGTAAGTGGTGTTAATGTTTCATTCAGATGTCTTCTCCAGGAACATCTCGAAATGCATTCTCTAGATTGTCGTCTAAAATTAGCATTCCGATGACTACCATGGCAACCAGCAGCTGTCATTCATGGTTCATAATGACCTGTCATACACTTCTTCTTTTTGCCATTAGTTAGGACCTACCGGGTTCGCTCATTGTTTTTCTTTATTCAACAGCATACAGGCAACCCAGAGGAGATGCTATTCAAGTAATTCAGGTATGTTACTGTTGATGAGTCACCTCTTGTTGTTACTTGTGATGTCTGAAGTCATCTTTTCTTCACAATATATTTATTAGTGCCTACGTGTTCACGGTTATCCACATGCTTGGTCAAAGTGAACACATGTAAATCATCTGATGAATAGTTAAGATACATAATATACAATTGTATTATAAGTCCCTTCTCTACTGTATATTTGTTAGTAAAATAGGCATGTTATATATATTTACAGTTGTTCACATGCAAGGCCAAGAGAAACATGGGATGGATGGTCAAGTTGTATAATACAAAATTGGTTATGGAACATATCATTGTTGGAAACATCCCAGTTTGTTCTTTGATTTCAACCTTTTTAAAGAAACCCTATGAAAGATTTAAAACCATGGAGCTGTCAATGAGAACCGTGCTCCCTTAGCAGATACAATGGATTTCTTCCTTTGAGGAAGATTAGTTGTTGGGCTCAATTATTTCATTTCTGTGGGATATGTTATGCTATTCTTATTAATGCTGGCAAAAACGAAACAAATTTTTACTTGAAACTAGTCTGCAATATATGGTTTCAGATCTACCTCCACACCAAGAAATCGGGATGCCGTCTCTTTCTCCAACCATGACAGAGGTGTGGACAGTTCTCTAGCTGAGACTGCATCTACAGAAGTCTTCATGTAACTGATGGTTCTTGACATCTTTTTTGTATTGGTTATAGGGAAACATAGCAAGATGGCTGAAGAAGGAAGGGGAGAAAGTTTCTCCTGGGGAAGTACTATGTGAAATTGAAACTGTATGATTCGTCTATAAACACCTCCTCTATCTTAATTACAACTCCATCTCATACTGTTGCCTTCCTTTTTATTTATAAAGAGACTGTATCCCAATTGATTAGGATAAAGCAACCGTTGAGATGGAATGCATGGAAGAAGGCTATATTGCTAAGATAATTCAAGGAGATGGGGCTCAAAATATTAAAGTTGGAGAGGTATCTGCTCTATCATACTCAAATATGCTTTCTGGTATCATTTCTTAAAAGAAAGTTTAACTTCATTTTGCTACTTTCAGAATATTTATGTTTTCAATTCTGCATTTGTTTCTTTGTCATGCTATGAGAGGGAGAGTTGTCCCTTCTTTGGTCATTGGTTGTTTATCATGTCTTTAGAGTGTAGTTGAAAAGCACTAGTAAAGTTTGTTCATATTTTGATTACTGTACTCTAACACGACTTCAGGATAACAGATAAGTAAATTTATTTTATTCTCTTATTTGTTATCAGAGTCGCGTGTACAAACATATGGCTAAAAAGGGTGAGATCATAAAATCCTGCAAAACACCAAATGCAACTTCACATCTCCTTGATGATCGATGTTATTTTGAAGAGTAGAAATGAGAACATATCCTACAAAATACAAAATGCAACATCAGATCATCTGATGATCTTCATAAGTTTGATGAGTAGAAATGAGAATGATGAACTTTTAAACGTAGAAGTTCACGCTGAAGCTTAACTTTAGGCATCTGACTTCATAACTAAAATAAAACAGCTCCATGAAGGTTTCCATAAACGAGTTAGTTCAGAACTATCATGTTCAATCATTTGAGATACAAATCATAATTGGAGTCTGGTAACTGATTTAGTGTTAAAACAAATCTGCAAATTTGTTTTACTTAGCCAACACTTTTTTGGTGACAACATGTGTTTCTAAAGTAATCATTATTTTATTTTCATTAACTAGCCGATTGCTATAACTGTGGAAGAAGAAGATGATATTGGAAAGTTTAAAGATTATAAAACTTCAGCATCTTCTGCGCCTGCTGAATCGAAGCCATCAACTGAGCCTACCTCCCCTGCAGAGGTTGTTTTTTCAGATCTACCTCCACACCAAGAAATTGGAATGCCGTCCCTTTCTCCAACCATGACTGAGGTGTGAACCATTCATTTTCTAGCTTAGGCCACATATTTTGACGTGTTCGTTGTAACTGATGGTTCTTGACATCTTATTTTTATTGGCTACAGGGAAACATCGCAAGGTGGCTGAAGAAGGAAGGGGATAAAGTTTCTCCTGGAGAAGTACTGTGTGAAATTGAAACTGTAGGATTCATCTATAAACCTATCCTTTATTTTAATTCCTAGTCCATCTCATACCATTACTTACTTTGTATTTATGAAGAAATTATATCACATCTTGATTAGGATAAAGCAACAGTCGAGATGGAATGCATGGAGGATGGTTACATTGCTAAGATAATTCAAGGAGATGGGGCCCAAAATATTAAAGTCGGAGAGGTGTCTGCTCTATCATATGCAAATATGCTTTCTTCCAAATTTCTTTTCTTTAAAGCTAAAACTACTCCAGCTCCATAATTCTCCATGCTTCGTTTTAGAACATTTACAGTTTCAAGCGTGTATTTATTTCTACCCCTACTATGAGAATTGAATAGTAAGTTCCCTGTTCTGGTTGTTGGTGGTTGTGGTTAGTGATATATCACATCTAACAATTGCATGAAGCTTAAGTTGATTTTGATTAACGGAAGAAAAGTTCCATCAACGTTTCAAGTGCTGAACTATTCTTAATTGTTTATGCACTCAAATCATAGCTTTCTTCAGAGTATTAACTGAATTAGTACTACCTTATTTGATAATTCGCTCAGCCAAAATATTTTTTTCCCTTTTCTTTTTCTTTTTGTCGAGATCACACTGGTTTATAAACTAATCAATATTTCTTGTCATATATACAACTAGCCGATTGCTATAACTGTAGAAGAAGAAGAAGATATTGGAAAATTTAAAGAATACAAAGCTTCAGCATCTTCTTCACCTGATGCATCTAAGCCATCAACTGTCTCTACTTCACCTAAGAGGCAGGAGTCAGAGCCTGTTAAAACTTCTGAGCCAAAGGTCTCAAGGACTGACGCACATACAGAGGGCCGTATCTTCTCTAGTCCTGCTGCAAGAAAATTAGCCGAAGATAACAATGTATGATTTTCAGTTATTCCAATACTTGTTAATGTTTACATTAGACTTTCTTTCTTTCAATAACTCATTTCTAGATGGGGAAAAAATTAGGTGATTGGTTCTGACCATTCAGTGAATCATAAGTTGTCTAAAGAGAAGTCTGGCAATTTTCTAATATCATCTCCCACTCTCAATCTAATGCACAGGTGCCTCTTTCAAGCGTAAAAGGTACTGGTCCTGATGGACAAATTTTGAAGAGTGATATTGAAGACTATCTAGGTATACGTCTTTTATACTAAGTTTTAAAAACTTGAATTTCTTTTTTGAGTGACAACCTTCAATTATAGATAATTGCTTTCGCTTTATGTATATGTTTGTGATTTCTCATTTAGAGTCACAAGTTAAAGTTGCATGCTCTTTCTTATGATGAAATATGACCTATCCCTGAGGAGAAGTCGGGTTATATTTATAGAAAAATAGTGCAACCATGAAATCTTTTAATGTGGGACTAAACAATATTCTCTAACTTTACTAGTATATTCTACGCGTGTAATCTTCAAGGTGTGATGTATGGACAAGATGTGTCCACATCACTACCAATGATCCTTGGTACCAAGTATACTCATTTTTCTCATATATATATATACAGTACAAATTTGCCAAAAAAAAGGCTTAGTAAAATACATCTGAATTCTGATCTGAATGCATGTAAAGAATGCATATCTTCTTGCTCACAACTACCTCTTGAAGGAAGTGCCCGTCCAGCGCATTTAATGAGATTACACGCAGTCAGAATGGCATAGGTCCAATAGGACCTTTTACACTTATTGGTGTAGTTAACATCACTTCTTCCAGATATGTTAAGAAGTGTTTTCACTGAAAGAGCATATTCATAGAACTCTCGTACAATTATAATTTCTTATCGTCTTATTATTTGGTTCAGAACTTCAAACATACCCAATCACCCTCCAATAGTGCATATCCAAGCAGCTGAAAACAAGAAAACTTGTGGGTTTGCTAACAAAAAATAAATATTAAAATCAATCAAGTATAATAGATACATGTACGTGAAATATTAAATACTAATTTTTCATGGTAGTTTTTGTACATTGTGATGTCTTTCATTCCTTGAGCTTTTATGATGTTTCTCGTTTGCTATTTATAAGTTACTAATCTTTACACGAACTATCACTTTTGAATGGATATATCTGAATTCTGAAATTTCTCTTGATTTTCGGTCCTTGTTACTTTTCTAGAAAAAATCATGGGCAGTAGATTTGTATCTGAATATATAGTTTTTGCTCACTCTTTGATGTTGTCTTTTGTGCACAATGTAGCATCCAGTGCAAAGGGTTCTAAGGTGAAGGATGCAGCAATAGCTCAAGCATTAAGTTACACAGATATCCCTAACTCCCAAATAAGAAAAGTAATATTTTTTTTACAAGATTTCTATGTCATTTGTACTCTGTCATATTTAGTTGTGCTTTCTTATCCATGTTATGTAATCATTTTCAGGTCACTTCTTCACGCTTATTGCTCTCTAAACAGACTCTTCCTCATTACTATTTAACTGTGGACACTCGGGTAGACAAACTTATGGAGTGAGTATCTACTGAAGTTCATGGTTATTTTTTGTCTCCTTGATTCTCCACTCCTGCATATTATGAACAGCATTCTTGTTTGTGGTAAAATGAAGGTTAAGAAGCCAACTTAATTCTTTACAAGAAGCCTCTAGTGGGAAACGGATTTCCATAAATGACCTTGTAATAAAGGTATCCTCCCTTCTCTGCTCATCCCTTGTTGCGTTTATCTGGAGAAGTTACTGCTATATATGGTAATGTTCTTGAGGCATTATGTACAAAATGCTATTGGGTTTAACCTAACACTAAATTTGGTGACCTTACACAAGGTTCCTTTAATTGGAGAACTGGATGTATATGAAGATAAATATGAAACTTTTTATTTAACCACACTTGTATATTATTCTAGCATAGTGGTAAACCCTCTTCCTAGTTGAAAAGTGTGAGATTCGACACCACTTGCACCAGGCTACCTGCTATTCTCAATCTGAAAGAACATTAGTAGATACATTGTACTCGACGAAGAAGTCGCTATTTGTTAGGGTACTTTAAGCTGTCTGGACTCTGGATATCATCAAATGAGTTGTATATTAGATTCCATGTCTTATGACAATTATATTTATATATAATCTAAAGTAAGATCTCATAGGTTCCTCCTAAGTTGTCACTTTTTATATCTATTATGATACTTTCCTCATACACGATAAATGTTAGGCATATTTCTGTTTTTGCATGTTAAAAGCCGTTTGGTAAATCTAACAGTGTATGAATTTTTTTTCTTTATTTTAGAAAATGCGCTGATCTAATTTTCATCAAAGATGAACTTCAAAGAAACATATTTAAGAAAATCTTGTTATTTCTGCCTTTCTTATATTCAAAAGTGGATCTCATTAAGATATCTGATTTCGTAATGGTATAAAGCCAAATTGATATTCATCAATTCATGGTTAAGAGTTTTACATGGAATGGAAGAGGTTATAACTGATCTATTTATTTCTGCAAGATTTAATATTTTGTTATAATTGTTTTCGTCAAAAGTTGGTTTTGTCATGGAATTCATTATATCTTCGGTCGATTACAATAAATTCAAAAAAGAGATAGCCTTTTTATAAGACTTCTTTTACACAACAAAATAAAAATTACAACTCTTGAGAAACAAACGCAGGATCGTTGTTTGGATCGCTGCTTGCGTGGGATCTTTGCCTGTGCCGGGGGTGCGTTAGCCCGTGGACCACCAAATCACAGATTCTGATTGAATCGTGAGAGGTTTATGATTCTGACTTCGTTTATCGAAGTGAGAACTTGAAACGATATCTTATCAAGGTAAGATAGTCGTTCTTCTTGAAATCAAGTCAAAGCCTGAATATCAAGGTGTTACAGAAGCTCGAGTACTCTGTCCTCTCTGCTCTGAAATCAGCCTGTGGATGCTCTCTGATCAGCCCCTCCTCAAAAATAGCCTTCGGGGGTATTTATAGCCCCTAGGAGCAGTTGGCGGAAAACAGGCTCGCGAGACAGCATTTGCTGTCTCGGCTGTCGAGACAGTGTTTGCTGTCTCGGCGGGCGAGACAGTGTTTGCTGTCTCGGCCCGCGAGACAGTAAATGTTGTCTCGGAAACAGTAACCGTCAGGCAGTTTTCGTTTTAACTGCCTTCCCACGTTTCAAACTCTGTTATTTTGGCAGTTATCAACGTGATTCCCGTCCACGACGTTTCCCACGTTCTTGAACAGTTGGTGGCCACGTGTGGGTCAGTTACAAAACCAATTTTTGATCTTTTGAAAGCTGTCTCCTGTGCGAGACAGAAAAGTCTGTCTCGCGTGCGAGACAGCAAAGTCTGTCTCGCACGGCGAGACAGAAAAGTCTGTCTCGCATGGCGAGACAGCAAAGTCTGTCTCGCACGGCGAGACAGCAAAGGCTGTCTTGCACGGCGAGACAGTCTATACTTGTGTTCTTTTGACTTTTTTGGATGATTTCCTCTTGAGCTGTATTTGGATATTCTTTCAGCATTTTTTGACGCCTACAGATACCCCCTCTAAAGTATTCCAGACTCATTCTTTTATAGAGGAGTCTGGGATACTTTGGATAAGATAGATCTTATCTGCAATCCCTTCAAGGCTTGATTAAGTAGATCATACGGCAAGACCCATAAATGGCTTTAACTCTTGACTCCATCATCTTTTAGCATATTCAGTGCTTTGTAGAATAGCTAAAATTCCTCCGGTGCTGCGCTTATCGCGTGACCGTCGTCGAAGTCTTGATTGGAACTGCTATTGAAGAATGGAGAAATAGTTTATACTCATATACTTTATTGGAGTGTTCGGGAAATAGTTTAAACTCATATACCCATTGGGAGGTAACCAGGTTATTCTTAAGAATATTCCGAGTAATATTCTCCAGAAACTTCCTGTTGATGGTAGGAAAACAGTTTAGACTCGTGTACCGATTGGAGTAATATGGTCTCTTTTTTGTTGGTAGAGATGAACCCGATGATGGAGAGGAAGAACTTTATATCCTATCTCCTGGTCTCTTGTTTGTTGGTAGAGATGAACCCGAAATCGGAGAGGAAGAATTTTATATTCTATCTCCTGGTCTCTTGTTTGTTGGTAGAGATGAACCCGATGATGGAGAGGAAGAATTTTATATTCTATCTCCTGGTGCAAAAGAAACTCAAAGTGGGATCTCCACTTAGAGAATCTGGATTGGTTTGAATAATCCTGACTGTCATAAGGTTTGATTATTCAATTCAAAAGTAGACCTCTCGTTCGTGAAATGAATCGAAAGTGGATTTTGGTTGTGGTCCTAACTGTAGTAAGGTTTGACCAAGTGGGAGTTTTGAGACGATCCTAACTGTTTAAAGGTTTGATCGTTCAATTTGTGGACCTCTCGTTCATGGAAGGAATCGAGAGGGGATTTTAGCTCTGGTCCTAACTGTTTAAAGGTTTGACCGAGTGGGAGTTTTGAGACGATCCTAACTGTTTAAAGGTTTGATCGTTCAATTTGTGGACCTCTCGTTCATGGAACGAATCGAGAGGGGATTTTGGCTTTGGTCCTAACTGTTTAAAGGTTTGACCAGATGGAAGTTTTGAGACGACCCTAACTATAGGAAGGTTTGCACAAATCGAAGGTGGACCTCTCGTTCGTGGAAGGAATCGAAAGGGGATTTTGGTTTTGGTCCTAACTGTAGTAAGGTTTGACCAAGTTGGAGTTTTGAGACGATCCTAACTGTTTAAAGGTTTGATCGTTCAATTTGTGGACCTCTCGTTCATGGAACGAATCGAGAGGGGATTTTGGCTTTGGTCCTAACTGTTTAAAGGTTTGACCAAGATGGGAATTTAAGACGATCCTAACTGTTTAAAGGTTTGATCGTTCAATTTGTGGACCTCTCGTTCATGGAACGAATCGAGAGGGGATTTTGGCTTTGGTCCTAACTGTTTAAAGGTTTGACCAAAATGGGAATTTTGTGAGGGAAGATTGATCTAAAGAGGTGATCGAATCTCATCTCAGCAAAAGAGTATTCAGAAGTCATAGTAGGAGTTTAATATTTATCATTTTGTTCATAATAATCAGGTTATTATATTTAACATTCTTCCGGGAACTTCCCATTACATGAATTATCGACCCCCAGCTTTCTTTGCAAACCAGCTTTTTCTTGCGAAACTGAGTTTATCATTATGTTTAGCTATATGATCGGGTTATCCTTAAAAGTACCATGCATGGCATTCTCTAGGAACTTCCCGTGAAAGAAAGGAAATAGTTTAGACTCATATACCTGTTGGAGTATCGAGGAGCAGTTTATACTCATATACTCTTCGGAGTGAGATGGAGAAGCAGTTTATACTCGTATACTCATCGAAGTCAGGGAAAACAGTTTATACTCGTGTACCCAATAGAGTAATATGGTCGTCTTTACTCGACTTCTTTCGTCATTATGACGCCAGAGTCAATTAAGGCTTGGATTCTGTTTTTGAGTCCAAAGCAAATTTCGGTGGGATGAAGAATCCTTCTGTGATATGCACAGTAGTTTGGATCTGTAATCATCTTAGCACCTTCCTGATCTTTAATAGGCGGTAGCTCGATTTTATCATTGGCGAGGAGGTATTCCAATATGGCTGGAGCTTCATCGTCTTCGAAAGAATATTCCTTTTGAAACCTCGGATCGAGAGTCGCATTCTCAACGATTGCAGATGTCATTGGTTGGCCTCTCTCAGCTTTCTTTCTTTTAAGAAAGTGCTCAGCTTGTTCACCCCGAGATTTTAACTCCTTCCAAGTTGTGGATGGCACGACCCCCAGAGCTTCCAGGACATCGATGGAAAGGTTATTGTGGCATGTTTGCAGGATGAACTCCTCTGTAATAGGATCTCTGCAATTCATTGCTTTGCCACGGAAGCGCTTGACAAAATCGTCGACTGACTCTCCGTCTTTTTGCTTCTCATCCAAAAGGGTTCCGATTGACACTTCGGTGTCATCATCGAAGAAATTGCTGAGGAACAAACTTTCCATGTCATCCCAGCAATTGATGCTCCCTGGCTTAAGACGTCGGTACCAATCGAAGGCGGGCCCACGAAGGGTGCCAACGAATGACCGGACCATTAAAGCCTCGTTTCCAGAGATCATGCCCAAATGAGACTTGAAATAAATCAAGTGTTGAATCGGCGAACTCTTCCCTTCAAACGGTGTGAAGTTAATCAGATTGAACTTCGCCGGGTACAGTATTGAATCCCATTCCCTTGGATAGGGACATGGAATACCCGTCTTCTTAACTTCTTGAGCCGTCATCAAAGCATTGATTTTGTCTTCAAGTTTTTGCATTTTCCCGTCATCGTCTTCATTTCTTTCTGAATGATGTCGAGTAAAGATAATTGGACCACCCCCAGTGAGAGGTGCTATTGAACCACCCCCAATATCGTTATTGGGAGGATCCGTTAAACCACCCCCAGCGTTATTGCCATTGGGAGGTGTATCAGCCATAATGACTTCATCCACCTCTGGATCACTGTCATCTACAACATTCCGAGTGTGGTGGCTGGATTCAAATCGCTGATTGGACTCAGGAGGTTGAGGCTGTTGAGTTAACAGTTCTCTCATTTGTTGGATAGCCAACTTCATTTCTGTCTTCACTTCAGCTCTAATTTCTTCACGTTGTTTGGCTAGAGCTTCCTGAAGTATTTGAGTGAACTGATCAGCAGTGATTGTGAATACTTCTCTGATTTGTCCTGTGCTAGACATTGTATCATCAGAAGCGATTGCAGAATAAGTGTCCGAGAATTCATCCTCCGAGGACATTCCTTCTTGCATGTTGGATAGCTAACTCCATTTCTGTCTTCACTTCAGCTCTAATTTCTTCACGTTGTTTGGCTAGAGCTTCTTGAAGTATTTGAGCGAACTGATCAGAGGTGATTGTGAGTACTTCTCTGGTTTGTCCTATGCTAGATGATGTATCATCCGAAGAGATCGCAGAACAAGTGTCCGAGAGCTCATCCTCTGATGACATCCCTTCATGCATTCTCTTGTAATCTCCGCGCCTGATGGCTCTTAATTGGAGTCGAGACATCCTTTGAGCAATTCTTGGATTGACTTTTCCTCTCGGGGAAAAGTCGGGATTTGAGTCACTTGAATGCCGCTTAGACTTTCTTTTATCAGCCACGTTGATGGTGACTTCAAGGAATTCATCATCTTTGGCAGCTGATTTTCTCTTGCAGAAATACCTCGGCTTAAGCTTCGACATTTCGATGAAAAGACTGTGGAATACCGAGACTCTTCGTGAGATGGCTTCTCGTTTGAAACAGTCACATTCTGATAGCATTGCTCTAATGAGTCGCGCACAGGAACAATGAGAGTTCATTTCCCGGACAGTTCTCTTTCGAGTTTTGTTCATATCCCCAGCTTGATAGTATGATTCATCGGTATGATTGCCGGAAAATCTTATCGTCTGTTGGTATGACCCCCCAGGTATAACGATGTTTTTTGACAACCATGTTTTCTTCTGAGGATGTAAAACCTTGTTGGTATTCTCAGGACAACTTATTATTGTCTTTGAATGATCCAAGGTTATGTCGGGAGTCACACGTTTAGAACCACCCCCTTATGGGCATGGAATCTTAACGGGCTCCGAATGCTGATTTTGCACAACTCCATATTTTGGAATCCAAACTTTGCAGAGTTTTGATGGTTCTTTGACCACCGTTTCTTTGTTTCTTTCTCGTCTTTGTTGTAAGAGAGCACGAGCATGAGCTGCGTTTGCACGACGCTTTTGTATACGTTCTTTGAGGGTCGAACGAGCCCTTTTGACGAGTGTCCATTCCTCCGTCGTGAATTGTGCAGAAACGTGAGTAGTTTGTCATTGCGTTGAACAAACCACTTGTTGTTTCCTCGACTCTAAGTCCGCATAATAACGAACTCCGTCGGTTTGTTCAAATGCCTTAGCTATTTGGCGAGCACGGCGCTGACGCTGTCTCTGACGAGCCCTCTTCGTCAGTACCGGTGGGCTTTGATTCGATGACTCTTTAACTAGATAAGAGTCATCGCGAGTAGAGATGTTGCGAGTAGAATCCTCAGCAACAATCAGGCGAGAGTCTTCATTCTGTGCCTTCTTTGGCATGGAAGTCTTCTTCAATGTTGAGATCCTCTTGTACTTGTGAGACAATGAAGATCTTGAAGAGGATGATGAGAGATATTCCTCAAATTTGGTTTGGTCGAATTCGTATTCGACCATGGATTCAACTGGAATCTTGATCGGCTGCGACACGACGGTCTCGGCAGCGAAACCGTTGGCTCCCACTGTGGTCGCCAGCTTGTTTGCGTCAAAAGTTGGTTTTGTCATGGAATTCATTATATCTTCAGTCGATTACAATAAATTCAAAAGAAATAGCCTTTTTATAAGACTTCTTTTACACAACAAAATGAAAATTACAACTCTTGAAAAACAAACGCAGGATCGTTGTTTGGATCGCTGCTTGCGTGGGATCTTTGCCTGTGCCGGGGGTGCGTTAGCCCGTGGACCACCAAATCACAGATTCTGATCGAATCGTGAGGGGTTTATGATTCTGACTTCGTTTATCAAAGTGAGAACTTGAAACGATATCTTATCAAGGTAAGATAGTCGTTCTTCTTGAAATCAAGTCAAAGCCTGAATATCAAGGAGTTGCCAGAAGCTCAAGAACTCTGCTCTCTCTCTGCTCTGGATTGCTCTGAAAACTCTGTTATTTTGGCAGTTATCAACGTGATTCTCGCCCACGACGTTTCCCACGTTCTTGAACAGTTGGTGGCCACGTGTGGGGCAGTTACAAAACCAATTTCTGATCTTTTGAAAGCTGTCTCCTGTGCGAGACAGAAAAGTCTGTCTCGCGTGCGAGACAGCAAAGTCTGTCTCGCACGGCGAGACAGTCTATACTTGTGTTCTTTTGACTTTTTTGGATGATATCCTCTTGAGCTGTATTTGGATATCTTTCAGCATTTTTTGACGCCTACAATAATAATGTAGAGAGATGCTTAATCTTGTTATAACTATTGATGCCAGGCTGCTGCTATGGCTCTTCGCAAAGTTCCAGCATGCAACTGTTCCTGGATGAATGATTTTATTCGCCAGTAAGTTTTTGGTGGCTCCTATGATCAATTTACAAGCTTGGTAGTATTTCATTCTGATGATCCTTTATTTTACTTTCCCAGGTATCAAAATGTGAATATTAATGTTGCCGTGCAAACTGATAATGGATTGTTTGTACCAGTTATCAGGGTAAGCAATGACATCAGATATTCTTTATCTTCCTGCTTATCGTGCAGGGCCATGACATGAATAAATAACAATGCAGGACGCAGACAAAAAAGGATTATCTACAATTGCAGACGAGGTCAAGTCTTTGGCGCAGAAAGCCAAAGACAACAGTCTAAAACCAGAAGATTATGAGGTACTGAACTGCAGGATTTTGCAGATGCTAACATTTATGTATTATTCAAATCTGCCAATTGATATCTAATGTTTGCAGGGAGGCACATTTACCATATCAAATTTGGGAGGACCATTTGGAGTCAAACAATTCTGTGCTATAATAAATCCACCTCAGTCTGGCATTCTTGCTGTGGGCTCTGGTAATGCTCTGTTCATTTAAAATCTGCATTTATTTAAAAACTTTCTATCCTGTCCAAAATATTCTTTTTTCATCCTACGTATTTTCACTATGCCTTTCTAGCATGTTCCCATCTACATAGAGTATATACTCAACTGACGAGAATTTCTTTTTTGCGTTGAACAGCCGAAAGGAGGGTTATACCTGGCGCTGGTGCTGATCAATTTGAGTTAGCTTCCTTCATGTCAGTCACATTGAGCTGTGATCACCGTGTCATCGATGGTAAATATGCCATGCTTAAGCATCACAGGCTTTCTTTTCAAGAATATTTTTATAACAAATCTAACATTCAAATTCCGCAAAATTGTAGGTGCTATTGGTGCAGAGTGGTTGAAGGCATTTAAAGGCTACATCGAGAACCCATCCTCTATGTTACTATGAACAGTCACTTCTTCAAGCATTTTTGTAGGATTTAGCAAATAATGATCGGATGACCTTTGATTCTTTTGATCCATAAATTGTATTTATTTCCCCTTGTGTATGATTTAGTACAGTCTTGATGAGACCCTACAGAACCAAGAGCTGGAATAATATACGAACATGGGATTGTACTGTGCACAAATGAAACTTGAAGCAGTGTAAACCCGAGTAAATAATGATTTTGGTGAAAGGAACATATTCGTAATGCGTTCTCTTTTTTTTTTGTTACAGTGATCTTGTTTTTGTTGCAGCTAGCTGGGCATATTTTAACGAGTAATGCTACAGGGACCCAAACCCATGGGAAAGGGGAGGGGACATGTGAGGTGTCACCTCCCCATTGCTCCATGCACTGTTTATGAACAGTGCATGGAGCAATGTCCCCATTGCTCCATGCACTGTTTATGAACAGTGCATGGAGCAATGGGGAGGTGACACCTCACGTCCCCTCCCCTGTCCCATGGATTTGGGTCCTCAGGGAATTTCCTTAATTAAATCTTTAAAAATGGATAATGAATAGTCCTTCACTCGGGGTTTAGTTTGGGAAAATGAAATCTTAAAGTTTTATTTGTTCTACTGGAATTTCAACTCCTATCTATACAGACTTCTACTCTACGCGAATGGCCAAGGGTTATAATTTTTATGGCTCCCTGTTCCATCCTCATTGACCAGCTGGTGTATACGTAATGATCTTCTGTACAATAATTATATTCTTTAGATTAGTTCTATTAGTTTTCTCCCACATTTTATCAGGTGGCGTACAGTGAACTTTTGGCTAGGACAGCTGATCTCGAGTAACATAATTTTGATGGTAATTTATTTAATAAAATGGATGGACGGCCTTATAGATTTAGGCCAGGAGGATCCATGGGCTTCAATTAAGTAAAATGATTGGGACCCAGTTCGAGGCCTAGCGTCCAGATGCCTCCACAGACTTCCATTTCTCTCCACTCGTATCGCGGACGCGAAATCGAGAGGCGAAGATATAAACACCTTTTCTCTCACTCGCCCGTTCCCTGTTTTGTTCGTGTTAAAACCCTAGCCCTCTCTCTTTCACTCTCTCTCTCTTAAAACCCTAGCTCCTCTTGAAGCCCTAGAAACCTCCCCCTTCTCTGCTTCTTTCGCGCGCTCCTCACATCGGAGTTCGATCCGAGAATGGCCACCTCGGTGATGCTTCGAGCTTTGAGGCGGCGAGACGTCGCCTCTTCTCTCTCGTCTCCTCTCAGATCTGTGAGCTCTCTTTCCTCTATATTACATTATTCTCTTACCTTTCTGATGTTATCTTGATGGAGAGAAAACCGTCTTCTATTTTGCTTGGTTGATGGGACTGTTGATCTGTTCAATTTTGGGGAACTCAGCTCCAACCTCAGCCCCAAAGTCGTGGGTTTTATTGTTTTTTTTTGTGATCTATACTCGTTATTATCTCTGCATGATGATGGTCCATCGATGTTGCTTTTTTCCAATTTAGCTATTGTAAAATTAGTAACTACAACCAGCTAAGTTCGCTGTATTGGGAGTTTATGTCTCTTTTAGGAGAAAGGATGTGAAAAATCTGATGGTTAGATTTGGAATTCTCTAATGAAAAAGAAAACAAAGGATTAACCAATACGGGTTGAATTCTGAGAACTATAACTTCGATAAAATCTGAAATTTAACATTTTCATGTTTTTTAGGTAAATTACTTTTCCGTATAATTTCCTTAGGACATTTTATGCTTTATCTGCTTTATCACATATATTAAGTTTGGTTTGCTTGATCTAACATCACCATTACCTACTCATTTCCATGGTATGCAGCTGTTTGTTATCAGGGTGCCTGGGAGTTGTATGGGTTTGTGCCATGATCTCTCATCTATCTAATGAATCTAAAATCTCTCTATATATAAGTTTAGACAAAATCATTGGGGTACCTAATTGCTGTCCTTAGTATTGAATATTATAAAGTTAAACTTATTACAGGGAACTGGCTTTGTGACGAGGTTTCTAGATCCTCTAGAAGGGATGCTTGGTAAATGGACACATGTATATAGTATAAGAGCCTAAGAGGATTATAGTCTGACCTTGAAATGTCTGGCTAATGTCATAAAAGATATATATTTTGGAGATAATCTGGTGTAAAGAGTATTCTGGGTTTGACGGCTAGAAATATCACTTTTCCCTTTGCACCATGCCTTTGTATTTCGACCTGACTTTTAACATAGGGAATAGCATTCATCAAATGTTTGTCAGAAAGAAAATCTAAAGAAATTACCGTTTGGAGGGGTTGAACTAACAATTTGGTTTGTCCTGCTTTTGGAAAATTAGATGTGTACGGTCATCGGTTCTTATGGAATTATGATATTGTTATGATTGAATGTTAGGTGCAATCTGAAATTTCTTCACATCAAATGAGTTGCTACTGTTCTCATGGAATTAATTAAATTCGTTGGCTAGTCTTCTTAAATGTGCTTGATGAATGGCAGTCGGGCCATATAGTGATGGTGTGATACTGATACACTACGCGTTATGATTCTCTCTGTACTGTAAGCCATATAGTGATGGTCTATTGATTTATGTCTCGTCGGAGCTTTAGCTTGTTACTTATACATGTTACCATTTCATTTTCTCTGAGTAGGTACTGCTAGCTTAACAAAAATGATGCTCTTTTCCACTTTTAGTATTCTGTTTTTCTTACTTCTAAAAATACTATGGCAGTTCTGTAATTATCATAAGCGACAACATGCTATTCACAAATTCGCTAAGATTGCCATTCATTGACATGTGAATGGCGTTTATGTGATCAAGTCATGAAGTATCATCTCACTACCATGGGTATCATGGTTTCCAGCTTTTTATAGTTTCTAATTCGTGTTGCAATTAGTTCATATTGCCACTACATCACTTGATATAATCAAGAGAGGTATTTTCTGTTAAAATTGTTTTTTCTTAAACATATTTTTTTGGCAGCTATGTGGCAGTTCAAAGACATCATGGGCTACATCACCTTTCAGTCATAAATGGGCAAGTGTGGCTAGGCCATTCAGGTAAAACCCTGCAAGACCTTTAACAGCCTTTTGCTGCTGGCTTTTATTTAACTTGACTTTTTCTGATGAATATTATTTTGGCGATGCAGTTCAAAACCAGCTGGTAATGATGTCATCGGAATAGATTTAGGAACTACCAATTCTTGTGTGGCTGTTATGGAAGGAAAGGTTATACTCTTGGCATGTCAATATATATTTGCTATATAGCATGTGTATTGCTGCTTTATTCATGTATCTGTTCTACTTTTTGCAGAATCCTAAAGTGATCGAAAATTCTGAGGGGGCACGAACTACACCATCTGTTGTTGCCTTCAATCAGAAGGGGGAGCTACTTGTTGGAACTCCAGCCAAACGACAGGCTGTGACTAATCCAACTAATACACTGTTCGGGACAAAGCGACTAATAGGTCGTCGCTTTGATGATCCTCAGACACAAAAGGAAATGAAGATGGTTCCCTATAAGATAGTAAAGGCTCCAAATGGTGATGCATGGGTTGAAATTAATGGTCAACAGTATTCTCCTAGCCAAATTGGTGCTTTTATCTTGACAAAGATGAAAGAAACTGCAGAGGCTTATCTTGGGAAATCTGTTACCAAGGCTGTAATTACTGTTCCAGCATACTTTAATGATGCTCAACGACAAGCTACTAAAGATGCAGGGAGAATTGCTGGCCTTGATGTTCAAAGGATTATCAATGAGCCAACTGCTGCCGCACTTTCTTATGGTATGAACAATAAGGAAGGCCTGATTGCAGTTTTTGATCTTGGAGGAGGGACATTTGATGTTTCCATCTTGGAAATATCCAATGGCGTTTTTGAGGTGTGTGCTTATTATGAACCCCAAAGCCTCTCTACAGTCTCAGTATTTCTCACTGATTTCTCCCAATTGTGGGCATGTTATTTATACTTGATCATTTTGGTTTTCACAGGTCAAAGCAACAAATGGTGACACATTCTTGGGAGGGGAGGATTTTGATAATGCACTTCTAGATTACCTAGTGAGTGAGTACAAGAAAACCGAGGGATTAGATCTATCGAAGGACAGGCTGGCCCTACAGAGGTTACGTGAGGCAGCTGAGAAGGCGAAGATTGAACTCTCATCTACCTCTCAGACTGAAATCAATTTGCCATTTATTTCTGCTGATTCTTCAGGAGCAAAACATTTGAATATTACTCTGACTAGATCAAAGTTTGAGACATTGGTGAATCACCTGATCGAGAGAACTAGAAACCCTTGCAAAAGCTGTTTGAAGGATGCTGGCATTTCTACCAAGGAAGTTGATGAAGTCCTTCTTGTAGGTGGAATGACCAGGGTTCCAAAAGTTCAAGAGGTTGTTTCAGAGATTTTCGGGAAGAGCCCAAGCAAAGGAGTGAATCCTGATGAAGCTGTTGCTATGGGAGCTGCCATTCAAGGTGGAATCCTCCGGGGAGATGTTAAGGAGTTGCTTCTCTTGGATGTTACTCCTCTTTCACTTGGTATTGAGACCCTTGGTGGCATTTTCACCCGATTGATCAACAGGAACACAACTATTCCTACAAAGAAGAGTCAGGTACGGTAGCTGCCTTTTCCTTTTTTAAATAATCCTTTTTTTATTGATCTTTCACTGTTTAAGACATATATAGCATTCTTTTCTACACTTTGTTAATGTAGGTTGTTTAAAGGTTATAATTACTCAATTACATGCTCTCTCAAGCAGTTTAGCGTCGTAATCATACTGTATTTCACTATCTTAGACGCACATTATAGAACTGCAGTTGGAATGAGTTAGTTGTATTCAGGCTTGACCTGTTGTCCTTGAGATGAGTTGCATTCAGATTTGAACTGTTATTCTTGAGATGATATTGGTTCGCATTTTCCCGACCTAATGACATACTAGCTATTGGACATAAATCTAGACCTGCATTTTGTCGCTTATTAGCTTTTTCTAATCCCTTGAGCTGAGGAGGTGTTCCCATTTTGCTCAATTTTCTTCAGTTACAGTTGTGGTAAGATATTAATTTCAGCTGTCTTGCATTCTAGGTCTTCTCTACTGCTGCAGACAACCAGACCCAGGTCGGTGTTAAAGTGCTGCAAGGTGAACGTGAGATGGCAGCAGACAACAAGCTTTTGGGCGAGTTTGAGCTTGTTGGTATTCCACCAGCACCAAGAGGCATGCCACAAATTGAGGTAACGTTTGACATAGATGCAAATGGTATTGTCACCGTCTCTGCCAAGGACAAAGCCACTGGTAAAGAGCAACAGATCACTATTCGGTCCTCTGGTGGTCTTTCTGAGGACGAGATTAACAAAATGGTGAAGGAGGCTGAGCTCCATGCACAGAAGGACCAGGAAAGAAAGGCTCTTATCGACATAAGGAACACGGCTGATACTACAATTTACAGTATCGAGAAGAGCTTGAACGAATACAGGGACAAGATCCCCGCCGAGGTTGCTTCAGAAATAGAAACCGCGGTAGCTGATTTGAGGACAGAGATGGCAGGTGATAATGCTGATAAGATCAAGGAAAAGCTTGATGCAGCAAACAAAGCCGTATCAAAGATTGGTCAGCACATGGCTGGTGGAGGAGGATCGGGCGGTTCTTCTTCAAGTGGGTCTCAAGGCGGTGATCAGGCGCCTGAGGCAGAATACGAGGAGGTGAAGAAGTAGATATAGCATGATTGATTCCCTTTTTGTCACGAAGAGTCTTTTCATTACATGTGCGATAATTTAACCGTAGCAGCGGTACCTTTTAGTTTAGCCTGAGTACGCATGGCTTAAAATTTGTTTTCTTAAAAAGTTTTTCTTCTGGATTGAATAAGGAAGCCATTGGTTGTGGACTCTCCTAATTATTGTCTTTGGATATATAGACCTTTTACATTTCTATGTTATCTGTATCACGCGTCATCCTTTTTTATCTTTGGTGTAGGGTGATGATGTTGAACTCTTGTTTTTTAGGCTTTAGAGCCGAGGATTAGTTCGTTTGATCCGTGTCTTTGTCTAGTTTGTTATGGCCGGGGGTATATGTTGCGTGTCTGTCTGATTTCTTATTGAGGGAGGGTCCCCAAACCATGGTGGCCCCTGCTTGTTGAAAATGTTGTCATCACCGCCGCCTATTGTTTTGACTGCTACAAACGTTGGCAACCGTGCTTTGAGGAAATTGGCTTGCGCGGCGTATCATCATATAGCGAGGATAGTTTCCTTTAGCTGAGCGTCTTTCCCCTGCGCAGAAAATAGTGCTTAATTTAAGTTCATACCGTGAGAGGATGTGGTCATGATGCCATTTAGTAACGTTACTAATGATTGTTTCGGCTATGATATTCCTTGATTAACGATCGTATTATTGTTAATAGTTTTGGCTATGATCCTTGTGTAATCAGAACAGCTTGCACGGGAGGATTAAAAGTTGATGAGGTGCTCTGATAGGATCTGTAGTAGTCAAGATGCTTTAGCTCTCAGGCCTCAGCCTCAGCCTCAGGTAGGATCAAACCAATGCATTATCCATGCTTTAGATGAATCTCTCTGCAAGGCGGGCTTAAGAAGAATAGGATGTGGTAACGCCATGTCGCCAAATAGATTTCGGTATCATCTTCGTCGTATCGTCCGTCTGAGCAAAA